AGACAGACAGACAGACAGACAGACAGACAGACAGACAGACAGACAGAAAGAAAGAAAGAAAGAAAGAAAGAAAGAAAGAAAGAAAGAAAGAAAGAGTTGAGTTTGAGTTTTAAAAGATCTTTTATTACACACTCCAACAGTCAAGACACCAACAAAAACTTGTTAAATACAAAAAATCAAAAAGTAAAAACTAAAGATGCTTCATCCACTGAACACAAAACATCATTAACACCCCACTTGTTTACAAAGCCATCCATGTTTTTTGTCAACTTAAAGTACTCAAATTCCACGCGAACTCGAGCAACTACCAGTCTTTGAAATAAAACACGAGCATCATCCGTCTGATGCCCATTGATTTTGTTCTTTCTTGATAACCATATTGCTAGCTTTGCAGTCCCAGAGATGAAATTCAAAAGAACATGAACAGGTTTTTTCTTTGCACAGTACCGTGGACCATAAATAAAAACGCAGGTAGAAAACTGTACACCAAAACCACTAAACAGATGATCTAAAAAAACAATAAGAGGATTCAATCTTAAACATTCAATAAAAATATGATGCAAAGTTTCCTCCTGAGAACAAAAAGGACATGAAACACTAATGTCAGGATTAAGGTGTGCCAGATACCTGTTTGTAGCTATGGCCCCATGCACAATCCTCCACTGGAGGTCACCCACCCGTTTCTCAATGGGGGGTTTGTACAGGGACCGCCAACAGCCTCTCGGGGTAGATCCGGTGTCAAAAAACTCAGTCCACTTTGACACTCTCACTTCTGCCAGAGAGCGTAAATTCAAGACCTTCATGCAAATCTTGTACAAGTCTTTCTTCCCCAGGTCGTCAAAACAACCAAGTGGTGCATCTTGGAGAGTCAGCAACTTTTCTGTCTCATCCTGCCACTGATCCACTGCAGGAGAGACAATCAGGGAAGGAAACGCATACTCACAGTCATCATCCCATTGGTCAGACAGAGTACTGTTAGAAGCAAACGCTCTGATGGAATCTGGCAGAGAAGAACAGGCCTCCTCTTTCAGCCTAAACACAAGTCTGTTGGATCGCAGTTCTAGACGCTCAATGAGACTGGACGCAGACAGCTTCATTAAATGACCCAGCTTCACACAGCCCGCGTCTCTCATCTTAGCTCTCATTGTAGCAGATGAGAGCAGCTGTGATGAGAAGAAACTGTTTTCAAACAGAGGTTCCTCAAAAACCCACATTCCAGGTGTCAAAACAGTCTTTCTCTCAAAGGTGAGGACCTGCCAAGCATTTAAAACTGAACGGTAAAATGG